ACTTATATACTAACAAAGCACTTAGATACTAACAAAGCACTTATATACTAACAAAGCACTTACATACTAACAAAGCACTTATATACTAACAAAGCACTTATATACTAACAAAGCACTTAGATACTAATAAAGCACTTATATACTAACAAAGGACTTATATACTAACAAAGCACTTAGATACTAACAAAGCACTTATATACTAACAAAGCACTTAGATACTAACAAAGCACTTACATACTAACAAAGCACTTACGATACTAACAAAGCCTTATATTCTAAAACAAAGCACTTATATACTAACAAAGCACTTACATACTAACAAAGCACTTACATACTAACAAAGCACTTATATACTAACAAAGCACTTATATACTAACAAAGCACTTATATACTAACAAAGGACTTACATACTAACAAAGCACTTATATACTAACAAAGCACTTACATACTAACAAAGCACTTATATACTAACAAAGCACTTACATACTAACAAAGCACTTACATACTAACAAAGCACTTAGATACTAACAAAGCACTTATCTAAAGCCTGTTGAGTATCACTTGAAATGGTTTGGCTCTATGAAACCCAGTGTTGGGACTAACGCGTTACAAACTAACGCGTTACTGTAACGCAACTACCTTTTGCGGTAACTAATAACGTTACTAGTTACCTATTCCCATTCAGTAACGCCGTTATAGTTACTGTGATTTAAATGGATGCGTTACTGCGTTACATTATGTGATCCAACTGAACCGAATCTCCCTGCGGATGTAACAGGCGAATACAGTGATGTCCTCTCACAGTACCATGGACAAGTGAAAGTGACCAGAGAGGAGTGATGATTGGTTAACGCGGGGTAACATTTCAGGGTAAGCCAATCAGAGACAGAGTTGGGCGGGTCTTGCCTTATGGGGAAAATACACAGACACACAAACACTTGCTAACACACACACATACACGGCAACGCCCACCACCAGCACACACACACACAATGGCAGATGCAAGTATCAGCGAGAACAGCAGCGCATTTACAACTTGGAGATATAACCACTATTTTCAATTTGTGGGGATAAAGGACGCAAAATATATTACGGTCAAATGTAAATTGTGTGCAGGACAGAAAGCATTGTCCACGTCGAATAACAGCAATGCCAATCTCCTGAGGCACCTAACTAATGTACACGGGGCTATAAAACTAGTCTTACTGTGCCACAGAACAACACAACAACTTGTATTTTTATTGTTATTATTTTTAAAGTAAACTAAAGTAACTTGTTACTTTACTTTTATAATTTAGTAACTAATAAAGTAACTAGTTACTTTTTTGAGAGCAGTAACTATAACTATTACTAGTTACTTTTTAAAAGTAACTTGCCCAACACTGATGAAACCTGATGTACTTAAATGATTCTTCAAGTTTGTATCGTCTTGGTCGAATGCACTTATTGTAAGTCGCTTTGGATAAAAGCGTCGGCTAAATGAAATGTAATGTAATAATAACGTCCGCCCAAGTATATTTCACGACCTATTTAGGTTTTTGTTTTTTTTATCCGTCTGCGAGCACTACGCCATCTGTGATCGATGAACTAGTGGACAATGATCCCTCGCTCTACGCCTCCTGTACCTGTTCGCTCTGCCATCGCGTGAAGGGTCCGCTAATAAGCGACCAACAGAAAGGGAGACCTTACGAGAAAAAGAGAAGTCAAATGTTTTTGCACATCACTCATGCGCAACTGCGGCGCAATTATGCGCTCTGCAGTAACCCCGCTGCGACGCTCCGGCAAACTAACACTAAACTTCATGAGCGTGCTCCATTAGCTCCCCCCCCCCCCCCTGCCCGTTGTGCCCGGCTACCACCACAAGTATAATTCTGTGGGAAACACTGCTGTCTCCTGGTGTCTTCAGGCCTGAAAACAGGATTCTTCCTGTTGTGTTGTACATAATATAAGTTCATTTAAAACGTTTTTTTCATTCTCACGTTTCCTTCTCTTTCAGCAGAACGTGGTCTGCAGGAGGTTTTAGATGAACATAGGCTCAGTCTGAGGAGGAGATGTGAACATGTGACTGAAGGAACTGGTGAAAGTGAAACCCTCCTCAACAGGATCTTCACTGAGCTCTACATCACACAAGGCCTGAGTGTAGAGGTTAATACCCAACATGAGGTGAGGCAGCTGGAGACAGCTTCCAAGAAAAATGCCCTCCATTACTCTCCAATCAAGTGCCAGGACATCTTTAAAGCCTCACCTGACCAACAGACTCTCATCAGAGCGGTCCTGACCAACGGAGTCGCTGGAGTTGGAAAAACCTTCTCAGTGCAGAAGTTCACTCTGGACTGGGCCGAGGGTTTGGGAAACCAAGATGTCCGTCTGGTGATCCCGCTCTCCTTCAGGGAGCTGAACCTGATCAAAGGTGAGCAGTACAGTCTTCTCAGGCTGCTCCATGTTTTCCATCCAACCTTACAGAAGGTCACAGCAGAGCAGCTGGCTGTCTGTAAAGTGCTGCTCATCTTTGACGGCCTGGATGAAAGCAGACTTTCTCTGGACTTCAGAAACAATGAGGTTGTGTCTGATGTCTCTCAGCAGTCCTCAGTCAACGTGCTGCTGACAAACCTCATCAGGGGGAAGCTGCTTCCCTCGGCTCTCATCTGGATAACTTCCAGACCTGCAGCGGCCAATCAGATCCCTCCTGAGTGTGTGGACAGGGTAACAGAAGTACGAGGCTTCACTGACGCCCAGAAGGAGGAGTACTTTAGGAGGAGATGGAGTGATGAAGACCTGTCCAGCAGAATCATCTCTCACATCAAGAGCTCCAGGAGCCTCCACATCATGTGCATGATCCCAGTCTTCTGCTGGATCACTGCTGCAGTTCTGGACCACATGTGGACTACAGACCAGAGAGGAGAGCTGCCCAAGACCCTCACTGACATGTACTCACACTTCCTGCTGGTCCAGACCAAGAGGAAGAAGCAGAAGTATGAAGAGGGACATGAGACGAGTCCACAGCAGCTGACGGAGGCTGACAGGGAGCTTCTTCTGAAGCTGGGGAGGCTGGCGTTTGAACATCTGGAGAAAGGAAACATCATGTTCTACCAAGAAGACCTGCAGCGCTGTGGTCTTGGTGTCACCGAGGCCTTGGTGCACTCAGGAGTTTGTACAGAGATCTTCAAAAGAGAGAGAGTGATATTCAAGAAAACAGTCTACTGCTTTGTTCATCTGAGCATTCAGGAGTTTCTGGCTGCAGTCTACATGTTGCACTGTTACACCAACAGAGACACAGAGGTACTGAAAGACTTCCTGCAGAGAGACTTGGACGATGACAACAGGGATAGCGGTGATCAGGATTACCCATCCCTGGATGTCTTCCTAAAGAGAGCCATGATGAAATCCCTCAAAAGCAGAAATGGCCATCTGGACCTGTTTGTCCGCTTTCTCCACGGCCTCTCTCTGGAGTCCAACCAGAGACTCTTAGGAGGCCTGCTGGGTCGCACAGACAACCGTCCAGAAATCATCCAGAGAGCCATCAGCAACCTGAAGAAGATGAGAAGTGATAAAGTCTCTGATGACAGGAGCATCAACATCCTCCACTGTCTGACAGAGATGAAGGACCACTCAGTACATCAGGAGATCACAGAGTTCCTGAAGTCAGAGAACAGATCAGAGAAGAGACTCTCTGTGAAACGCTCCTATACCACAGCTCTGGCCTACAGGCTGGAGATGTCAGAGGAGGTTCTGGATGAGTTGGACCTGGAGAAGTCCAAAACATCAGAGGAGAGACGACGGAGACTGATTCCAGCTGTGAGGAACTGCAGGAACGCTGTGTGAGTCCAGATGTGATTAGCTTTATAGATTAGTGTAGATAAGGATTTTAGTTTTTAAAATAAACACTATACAACTTGTTGCTGTTTCACATACTGAGAGAGCTAAATTGAATTAATACAATTATTCTAATAATTTTAAAATGGCACAGTTTTTTCTTCTCTTCATTTTCCTTGTCAAAATAATATGAAGGATGTTTTATCACAGCAACATGTGATCAGAACATACAGAATAACTTTACATATGTCATTGAATGCAGTAAACTTATTATGAAATGATTGCAGTTTCTTTATCGTTAAATTAGACACAGAGCAATATGTGATTCATGTTGACTCTAGTCTTCTCTAGTCTAGAAGGTAGCTAGCAGAGAGGTGACAGACATGGGATCAGATCACACTCTACCAAATATTAAATAGACTAACATCCAGTGGTAATCAGATCATGAGATTCAAAATGTTTTTCCTCAAATGCATGAAGTAAATATGTTGTTTCCCCTTTTTTTATATAAACAAATTCTGTAATATGTGTTCTAACAGAATTCCTGCCAGTGGATTCTTAGACTGGGAAGTCGTGGCCTCAGCTCTGAAGTCCGACTCCTCCGATCTGAGAGAGCTGGAGCTGAAAGTAGACCTGCAGGATTCAGAGGTGGAGCAGCTGAGTTCTGGACTAAAGAGTCCAAACTGTAGACTGAAGACTCTGAGGTCAGATCACTGGCTGTAGTTCATGTGGTTTTGTACTGTATTTATAATTGATATATTTATAATTCCATCATTTGCCTGAGTACAAAGACATTTTAATAAGTTCACATTTCTTTCTAAATTGCTGAATATTTGACAAGAATAACAGAAAGCAGAGAAAGTAAATGTGTGAGGGGACAGTGTGTGAGCTTCCACAGACTCTCACTGTGCTCCATGAGTCAGTGAAGATGCTGTCAGTACTGATGAGCTGTGAGGGAGAAGAAGGAGGTTCTTCTGATGCATTATCAATGCATTTATAGTTATCTACTATTACATTTCTAAAAGTATCTTCATCATTTTTGACATTGGCATCTGAACCCTCTCCAGGTCTGAAAAGATGATGAGACTTTGAACTATCTCAAGCAGGACCATTGTTCTCTGAACTTACATGATGTGTTCTTTATTCAGACTCTGGTGCTGCTTCTTTGTAAACTCTGTGATCTTGAGTTGAATCAGTTTCTGTGGGTTTTGATTTGTCTGGCTGCACATCACGAGTTAGTGTAGAAGGAGTAGAGTTTATGATGTGAAGTCACCACTTTTTATTGAAGGTGAAGAACGTTGTCTTTCATATTAATGACAGCTCTTTTCACTTTTTGGATCTTACTGTTTTTAACCTGTCGGGAGTGTCCACTTTATAAACGTCTACATTCTCTACTTCTCCAGCTATAATCAGATTATTAAACCTTTCATTATTTCAATCAGGAGCATTGTTTTCTAAACTTACATCATGTGTTCTTTATTCAGTCTGAAGGAGTGCAGGTTGTCAGAGATCAGCTGTTCTGCTCTGGCCTCAGCTCTGAAGTCCAACATCCATCTGAGAGATCTGGACCTGAGTGAGAACGCTCTTCAGGATTCAGGAGTGGAGCTGCTGAGAGATCTTGTGGAGAGTCCAGACTGCAGACTGGAGACTCTCAGGTCAGTAAGGGGTCGACTCAGTCTCTGCTGGTTCAGCAGGATTGTATTGAACACAGGGAGGTGGATGTGTTCCTCTCACTGGGGAATCTCTCCAGTTCCACCTTCCAGGCGTAGCCTAGCTTAGCACAACACATCAGTGATGTTACCATTTATCAGCAGTTTCTCCTTTTGTTCATCTCATGTTTCTTTTCTTGCGTTCTCCCAAGAACAATATAACATCCAACTCACAGGTTTATCATTACTTTGAGAAAAAAGATTATTAATTTAACCCTTTTAGAAGGGAAGATATAGTCATTTGGCTAAACAGGTTAAACACCTGGAATTCATCTTATATTCTCCATCCGGTTTCTTTTATAAATGATATAATAAACAGATTAATACAGTTAATACACATTTATATCAAAATGATTAAACACTAACCAATAATTTCAGGTTTTGCTTTTATCTTAAAAAAATGTATGAAGCTACATCAGGGGTACTAAAATACAAATCTTAAAGGTCCACAAAAAAAATGTCAATAAGACAAAGGTCCGTTTATTACAGTCATTCAAACTTTTAAACAATTGCAACAAGATTCTTAACACGAGGTTGCAAAAACAAAAATAATCTGTATGCAGCAGTTTTCATTGTTATTGTGTCTGTGCTTGATCCCTCAGAGTCGCAGTGTAAGAGCTGCACAGTTATGAATAAAGGCAGCTGCACTCTCTTTCATTCAGCATTCCCATTATTGCTTTATAAATGTCTTGCCCCCTTGTGTGTCCACTGAGGTTCGTCAGGCCCAACACATCTTCAACAAACTCCCCTTTGCTTCATCATAAAAACTCACAAACACCAGCAACTGAGCATTGTCAGTGGTGTCAGTGGACTCATCCACAGCTAAGGAAATGCACTGTGCATTTTTTATTCCACCACAAAGCTGATTAATCAAATCACCAGCCAGTATTTATGTTCTTCTGGTTGCTGTGGAATCTGAGAGGGGGATTTGCTTGATTTGACCTGTTATTTCCTCTTTTTGTTTGCCTTCAAACATGGTCTCCATCACTTCAGTCATGCATTCTTTTATACTTCAGTTATTATCCAGTGGAAAGCCCTTACCTGCTGGCCTAGTTCAATCAAAGTGGGGAAAAAACGCTGACAGGATGCTGAATGTGATTGGACCATAGCGTTGACAGACACACACAGACAGTGGAACAGTCGGAGATGCAGAGCGCTGTATGCAGCGGACATAGAGGAGAATTTTGACTCGTTGCGTTGTGGCGATGTCTCGCAGATAACACAGATAATACAGATAATACATATGAAAAGTATAATTTGCTCAGAGTCCAGAGACAGTTGTGGTTCGGTCCGGTCCGGATCGGACCGGAGTCCGGACTTTGAGGATGCCTGAGCTACATGATGCTCAAACTGACTGAATAGTTTAAACTGAAGATGCTGTGATCTATGTCTCCACTATTCCTGAAATAAATATACTCTATTTATTTTGATCACATTTCTTCTTTAACCTGTCGGGAGTGTCCACTTTATAAACGTCTACATTCTCTACTTCTCCAGCTATAATCAGATTATTAAACCTTTCATTATTTCAATCAGGAGCATTGTTTTCTAAACTTACATCATGTGTTCTTTATTCAGTCTGGAGTACTGCAGTTTGTCAGAGATCAGCTGTTCTGCTCTGATCTCAGCTCTGAAGTCCAACATCCATCTGAGAGATCTGGACCTGAGTGAGAACGATCTGAAGGATTCAGGAGTGGAGCTGCTGAGAGATCTTCTGGAGAGTCCAGACTGCAGACTGGAGACTCTCAGGTCAGTAAGGGGTCGACTCAGTCTCTGCTGGTTCAGCAGGATTGTATTGAACACAGGGAGGTGGATGTGTTCCTCTCACTGGGGAATCTCTCCAGTTCCACCTTCCAGGCGTAGCCTAGCTTAGCACAACACATCAGTGATGTTACCATTTATCAGCAGTTTCTCCTTTTGTTCATCTCATGTTTCTTTTCTTGCGTTCTCCCAAGAACAATATAATGCAAGCTGACAATGCAAAGCCACATTTCAGTCAGGAGCAACTTGTTAACAGACACATTTTACAGTTAAAAAGTGAGTCTGTTTGTTTTTTCTATGAAGTTGTTTTGTTCCTGGACTAATGCCTAGTTAACTCTGTAATGCAGCTGAGAGCTGTGGCAGTCAGTCGTAGTGTTTGCAGAGAGGATATGATGGGATGTGAAGCATTGGATCAGGACTCTGAAGCTGACTCAAAGAACAAACACTTATTTTAACTTGATCTCAAACTGTTGGATTGTGTTCATCCCTACAGGATCACAGGAGAGACGATCAGAGCCAAGATCCAGAAGAAATGTGAGTATTGAACTCATATCCTCCAAATATATCCAAACTATCGTACATGCAATCAAATCATAGGTAATATATTTATGTATCACTTGATGAAATCTGTGCCTCCCGTTTATGTCTAACATAATAAATGTTTAACTATTAAATAATATAAAGCTCCAAGAGTGTCTTTAACAGGCGGTTCTAACGAGTGGCTAAATTCATAATAACGTCGTCACGCTGATCACGGAGAAACTCATCTCCTCATTGGCTGTGATGTTAAGTCATGTGACTGTGATGGAGTTCCTCTATAGCCTGATGCTAGCTTTTCACTTGTGTGAAAGAACAGGTATTGGATGTACACTACTCAAAAAGAATGTATAAACACCATAGGGTAATCACTTTTTGACATTTGAATAAGGAAATGTTACAAATGATATATTTTAAATAAATAAACCCACCGCTGGGAAAGCTGAGGAATATAAATATCTCTGTGAACATCACATTGAACTTGTGTCTAACTTATTAGTCATGTTTTAAGAGATCTCTGTTCAAAGTGATTGTTGGTTATATAACTAGAGTATTTCCCCTGTTTATCTTCCAGCTCCATGAGGGGATATTGTTAACCATCAGGCAGCGCATTCAGACCCGTCATCCTGCATCTGGTTCGTTTCCTGACATTTCTGTCCCTCAAGTCTTTGGAAACAGTCAGAAGAGCGTCTACGGAGAACACGAAGAACAGTTTTAAATGATGACATTTTGCGTTAATCACCCCGACTGCATTAATCACACGTGACTATTTTTCACTCATGTTCCCGGTAATACCTTACACTAAGCAGTGGCGGCGCCAGAGATTTTCTTTTGGGGGTGCTGTGGGGTAGCTTGACGTTTCATAGGGGGCTCAAACATGTAGGGTTCCCCATTAAGACACCGGGCGCTACAGTGGAATGTTCTACTGCAACACTCCCCACACGCACACACAGTGCACGGCATATAGGTGTAAGCAGGGGTAAAGTGCTATTTTTTTTACAAGTGGGGAGTGGACCTAACCTCTTCTAGGGGGGTTCTCCTCACCTCCTCTAGGGGGGTCGGGGGCCATGCTCCCCCGGGAAGATCAATCAATCTGGTGCACTTTGAGAGCAACACAAAGAGATCTATGGATACCTCTCTCTACAGATATGAAACAGAACTTTAAACAGATTTACTTTTTCTTTATGGATATTTTACAAATCACTCCCCTTTTAAACTGTATTCTTGTTTTTCTGTCATATAGTATTTCATACCTGTTTTTCATTTATTCTCTTATTGTTTTATAACTCTAATGATCATATGAAGGTGTGCCTCGGAAATAATCTTTTGAATCATTCGTGACCAAACTAATTTATTTTTATTTTTTTTAATCTTTATGCATGCTTTAGTTAACATTAATCTGTCTCCGGCTCTTTTCTGCTGTAACAATGTACATGTCCCCTCTGTGGGACTAATAAAGGGATTCTGATTCTGATCTGAATGTTATTATCACATGTTTTTAATGCATCTAGTTTTAGATGAATCACCTGACTATATGGACGGAGATCACATGACATGTTACTTGTTAGACGCTTTTATCCAAAGTGACTTACATACTCAATACTGTGGACAATCCCCACTGGAGCAATTTTGGGTGAAGTGTCTCAGGGACACAACGACATGCTGACTGCAGAGGGGTTTGAACCTGTGACCCCCTGAACCCAACACCTACGCACAACCCACTGCGCCACACGCCTCCTACAGACAACAAGAGGGGACTGACAACAACAAATACCCAACTACAACACCCGGGCAGAGATAATACATTTACAGTTGTGAATAATGTTTGATATCCTGATGGTAAACCCGTCTTACTTTAATGTCCGTTACTTGGGACGGTTGAAACACACGGGCTCTTCCTCTCTCTGCATCCTCCTCTTGTTTCTCCTTCAGTGATCCGATCTATTTGAAGGTTAATGGAGGAAACTCTCAGAAGAGCACCTTCAACATACCATTACAGATATACTCAAATATACTATTCACGAAAAACTAATCTTATAATCTGTACATTAGTTTATACCAACAATTATTCTATTATTTTTCCCCTTATCCGTATTTAATCATTTCATTTTGTTATTGTTTTTATATATTTATGTCGTTTTCCATCCTCCATGGAGAGCACCCCATAGTAAGCACATGATTGACTTACATTTGACCAGTAGACTCTCTCCATTCATCACCTAAATATACAGTATATTCACCTCCACCATAAGGCAATCTATGTTAACCCTTTGGTGGCCTTCTCCCAGAGTCTCTGCTGACGAGACACACTTGCCCACTTCCACCTGGATGATGGCGTTTTTAAGCCGGACCTCCCTCGCTGGTCTTGTTGACGTTTGGGGAGAATATCCGCAGCATCCCCTTGTAGCTGCCCACCACCACCTTGTCTAAAGTTTAAGGCATTATTAAATACGAGATGGCTCTGTAATGTGAACAGCTGTGATGCAAATGTGAGTTGAAGTTGTTACTGGGAAATGTGAGAGAGTAAAAGGCAAAGAATCTGTTTGAAAGTCATCTTTTTCTGTAAATATGCTTTTATTAACTCAGTATTTCATTGTTTCTTTGTTTTAATTATCATAAATCTATCATTTAATTCACTGTCTTGCATTATCTCACCGTCACACAGTTCTGCTTTAAAGATGTTATTCTCTAAAGCAGGGGTATTCAACTAAAATTCAACAAGGTCCAGTTAGAGAAAATGTCCCCATGCAAAGGTCCGGAACATCAAAATGTCTAACTTGCTTTATGAATTAGTGTGATATATATTGAAGTAACTGTAGCTTTATCAACGTCTGCATGTAATCAACAACTGACTGCCAATCAGATAAAGAAAGTACAATTCAAAAACAACAATATTTATTGTCAATGAACATTGAACTATACAGATATACAGTAAATACTGTGGATATGTGTAATGTTCCTCTCGGGCTGCATTTAAAAATAAAATAGAGAAATAAATAAAATAGCTTTGTTAACCGTTTCACATCATGACTTAACAGTTTCAGACGATTATAGAACATATCAGTCTTTACACATCATAACAATTGAACAGTTTTAAAGTTTCTCTTTCTTTCCCTCTTATATTGCAGTCCCTCACTCACTTTTCTTTAATTCAGTGCGAGAATTGAGCTCGAGCTTGTCCTGCCAGGAGTTTGTAAATCTGGGCTGAAATGGTGTCAGGGCCATTCTCATACACACATGCAGGTGCTCATTGGTTAGCCTCGGTTAGCCTCGGTTAGCCTCGGTTAGCCTCGGTTAGCCTGCCCTGGAACCATATTTAGTTTTAATTTCGATCCTGGTGGACTGATCATATTGGGCTCTGAGACTGCTTATTGTTTGTGACCTCAGTCCTGACTTGAGAGGGAATGTTTGGTCAAACACTTTGTGTTTTGTCTCATAGTGGCGTTTTGGCACTTTTAATCAGGGTTGGGAGGGTTACTTTGTAAATGTAATCGGTTACTGAATACATGGCTCTGAAAGTAATCTGAATACAGTTACAGTTACACGTCTTAAAAAAGTAACGTATTCAGATTACTTTTAGAATACTTTATTTTTCCATAACAGATGGGTATGTTTTGGTGAACAGGAGACACTTATTTTACTGTTTTAATGGCTTATCAAGAGCACAACTCAAACACAACATCTTGGTGTCATTCTGGACAGCTCCCTCTCATCTGCACCCCACATAAAAAACATCACCAGGACTGCATTATTTGTACTCTCTTAAACCTTTCCTTAGAATATGTTATGAATTGTCAGGTGTCCTTGGGTGCTTTGAAAGGCGCCCCTAAATAGAATGAATTACCATTATTATTTATTATCTGAAACGACGTAATAACTTTTAAAACTGTTTCCAGTCACTTGCCCCATGCATTCAGCAGCAGCAGGCCATTCACTTTGATTTGATCCCGTTATGAAATGTCATAATTTCCGGAATAAACGTTATCTTGCAATTTTTATCGAACCATCTCCGTTTCTATATATTTTAAAAGAGATCTCTCTCTCTGATCTGCGTGCGGGGGCGGGGCCTCACAGACATGCTGCAGCGCTGTGCAGTGTGCACACAGTTCTGCTGGTAATGAATATTACATTTTATGAGGAAACTTTTCCACCAATAATTCCAAAAAGTATTCCAAAATGTATTCACATTCACCGCTTCTCTCCCCTGTATCGCTAATTATTCTCTTCAACTCACTTTCCTCTGCCGCTCTCTCGTCTCTTCTTCTGTGTTTCTCTCCCTGTATCGCTCACTCGTCTCTTTCGCCCCCTGTCGGCGGCGGTTAAAATAGAATCGCCCCGTCAAAATTGAAATCCCCTATTAATGTATTGATTATAGGTCCGGGTCCGTATCATGGATGTATAATAAGAACTGGATACAGCGTGGGAGGCGGGGCCTCATTCATTCCTTATGAGAGTTGCTCATAGCGCATGATGATAAAATGGCCCAACTTTTGAGAGAGCGAAACGTCACAGATTACCCGGCATGCCTGAGAAGTACCCGTATGTGCGCTCATAGCGCATGCGCAACTTTAACCATGCCCCCCCCAAAATGCTCGTTCACATCAAGCACCGTCAATTGCGTACACGTAACAGCACCGCACATTCATGACAGCATGGTAATGGTTTGTTATTATGATTAGATTTGATATTAACGAGGCGGCAGTTAGCAGCTAGCGGTTAGCTAGTAATTATGCTAATTTACACATCAATCGTTATGTACTTTTATATTACACTGTAACAGGATCTAGTGATATCCAAGCAACAGGGCTTCATTTAGCATGAAATAATTATTGCACTGTATATATATATATATATATATATATATATATATATATATATATATATATATATATATAAATATACACAGTGCAATAAGCTTCTTAGTGCAATAAGAAGCTACAGGGACGTTAATCTACGTCGGTAATATTAACTTTATTTAATACAACATTTACGGTACAAGATTTAATCATACAGCCCATGTAGTATAATATTTTACAAATGATGAATTACAGCAAACATGTGCAATATATCCATTATTACAGCTCCGTGGGCTGGCAGTAAGGCGATATGGGTCCGTTCTTATTGTGCATCCATGGGTAAAGATAAACGCATGTAGTGCTGAACACGTAACATGAACGTGCCAGGCGGCGCGGTCCCGTGGGTTAGATGCGCGTTCATAATGCAGAGGGAAATAACTCTCAGAATAACGTTATTAGCACATTTTACAACTTGAGGAACGAATGTTTTTAAATAAGAGCTATACAAGTGTTCATACTGGGTAGTTTATTTAGTTTAAAAAAAATTATCCAACGATTTACAGACCACTCTTTCCCCATGTAAGTCAATGGGAAAAAGTGTTTCCGGGCCTGGCAACCAAAAGGAAGTGTAGTACCGCCGTTTGGCCAGCACGAATATTTTCATCAGAGTCCGGCGCACTTCCTGGGGGCTTGGTCCGTATAGGTCGGCGTCTGGGTCCGGATCCGGACCGCGGTCCGCCTGTTGCCGACCCCTGCTCTAAAGAGTCACATTTGGAGAAAAGCGTGAAGAGAAATGTCAGAAATGGTTTTAAGAAAATAAACATTCACAACAAACAGAAGTTGTTGTTTTTTTAATGCAATTACATTTTAAGAGTTTCAGTATTCAATCACAAATACAATTAATATATCAATCACTCCATTTGGTTGTACTTGAGTAAAAGTAGAAGTACTCAGATCTTGTACTTGAGTAAAAGTAGAAGTACTTGTACTTGAGTAAAAGTAGAAGTAGCTACTGAGATCTTGTATTTGAGTAAAAGTAGAAGTACTGAGATCTTGTATTTGAGTAAAAGTAGAAGTACTGAGATCTTGTACTTGAGTAAAAGTAGAAGTACTCAGATCTTGTATTTGAGTAAAAGTAGAAGTACTCAGATCTTGTACTTGAGTAAAAGTAGAAGTACTCAGATCTTGTACTTGAGTAAAGTAGAAGTACTCAGATCTTGTACTTGAGTAAAAGTAGAAGTACTCAGATCTTGTACTTGAGTAAAAGTAGAAGTACTCAGATCTTGTCCTTGAGTAAAAGTAGAAGTACTCAGATCTTGTACTTGAGTAAAAGTAGAAGTACTCAGATCTTGTACTTAAGTAGAAGTACTCAGATCTTGTACTTGAGTAAAAGTAAAAGTACTCAGATCTTGTACTTGAGTAAAAGTAAAAGTACTCAGATCTTGTACTTGAGTAAAAGTAAAAGTACTAAGATCTTGTACTTGAGTAAAAGTAGAAGTACTCAGATCTTGTACTTAAGTAGAAGTACTCAGATCTTGTACTTGAGTAAAAGTAGAAGTACTCAGGTCTTGTACTTGAGTAAAAGTAGAAGTACCAGAGTGTAGGAATACTCTGTTACAGTAAAAGTTCTGCAATCAAAATGTTACTCAAGTAAAAAGTAGAAAAGTATTATCATCAAAATATACAGACAAGAAAGAGAAGCTCTAAAATCAGAAATCAGGAAACAAAGAAGTCTCAAAGAGATGTTAGACATTGGGTCAGGGAGACTTTATATTATGTAAGAAGAACAGAGTTAATAAAGATAATTTAATATTTTAATTTTTGGTTGAATTCTGTCCTCAATCCAAAACTCCAATACTCATTGTCTTCAGTGTTTTTTTTTTTACTTTTAAGGTTATTTGTATAGTTACATTTGGTGTAAATACTTGTCTTTAGCATCCTAAATTGCAATGCTAAATTGTTTCTTAAAAAAACGTATTTTGTACAATCCTTATATATTTCCTTTTTTTTTTACCATTTTTTTTTGTTTTTATTGTTTATGTTCGCACCACCAGATACCAAAGCAAATTCCTTGAATGTGTAAACGTACCTGGCAATTACATCACATGTCACTTGTAAGTCGCTTTTATCCAAAGCGACTTACATACTCAATACTGTGGACAATCCCCACAGGAGCAATTTGGGGTGAAGTGTCTCAGGGACACAACGACATGCTGACTGCAGTGGGGTTTGAACCTGTGCTCCCCTGATCCCAACACCAACGCACTACTGCACTGCGCCACATGCCTCGTTAATAAACTTGATTCTGATTCTGATTCTGACAGACAGTTTCATCCCACAGGCCATAAGACTGTTAAACACCTGAAAGTTTGGAAGAACATACATCCGTCTGCAATTTATCAATATTCCTTTTATAGACTATTCTGCACTATTTCTACTATATTCTATTTTAATGTATTTATTTGCATTATTTTATCTGTTGTATTGTTGCTCTGTTGGAAGAGCCTGTGGCCTCATATTTTCATTGATATATCTACACTGTAGCTAATGTACACATGACAATAATAGCCTTGAATCTTGAATCTTGAACAGGGTCAAAATCACAAACATCTCAAGGTCTCAGAAAGATCTTAAACTGCTGATGGATTATTCAATCAATAAATGTTTATTTATATAGCCCAATATCACAAATGTTACATTTGTCTCAGTGGACTTCACAGTTTGTACAGAATATCAGTATGACAATACGACACCCTCTGTCCTTAGACCCTCTGTCCTTAGACCCTCTGTCCTTAGACCCTCTGTCCTAATGGCGCAATTCCACTACAGCGCGGAGCTCGCTTTAAGCGTGCCGTGTCGTGCCGTGCCCGTTTTTGGTTGCGCTTCCACTAGGCCTAGTTCCGGTATATCAATACGACACCCTCTGTCCTTAGACCCTCTGTCCTTAGACCCTCACATCGTACAAGGAAACACTTCCAGAGAAACCCCACAGTTTAAAGGGGAACATGGGAGAAACCTCAGGGAGAGCAACAGAGGAGGGATCCCTCTCCCAGGACGGACAGACGTGCAATAGATGCCGTGTGTAAATCGAAGAGATAAAACATTTACAGCATAGGTAGACCAAATGTTTGGAAATGCATGTGTCTATAATAAGAAGATGAATCCACGAGGACGTCAACAATCCTGTGGGAGCCATCAGGGAAGTAGTATGATGAGAGTCATGCAGGACCGCAGAGACAGGTTCAGCCATGACTCGAAGTCCAGGACTCAGGATAGAGGATCCAGACAATAGGATCCAGGACTCAGGATCCAGGACTCAGGATGAACGTTAGCACCATAGACTGTATATATAAAGCACCCAATATGAGTAGGAAGGGTTTATAATTAGGTTTTTGTTATTGGTATTTAAACTGATAACAACAAGAGAAAAAATATATGTAAATGGTCAAATTAAATGTGGAATATTTATACAAACTGATCCACATTATCCACTACTACACCTTATTAGACAGAAATACATCTTGAATACAGAAAGGTGGCAGTAATGCGCCTTTAACGCTTTTTACCAGCCGCCATTACACCGTAAAAGAAGACGACGAAGAAGAAGAAGAAGTTTACAGCAGTGGGCGTGGCTTGTGTTCTAATCACGTCACTAGTGGACAGTCCACACACAGCATGATGGCGGCAGCAGCGGTAGCGGCGGAGCGGGGCGGAGGAACTGGAGGAACCGGAGCACCGGGAGGACCGTCTCCTGCTGGAGCCTCTGCCCGGGCCGAAGGCTCCTCTCCCCGGCCTGGCTCTGCGGGTTTCTCGGTGCTGGTGGTGGTCGGGTCTCTGCGGGCCAACGGGCTTCTGGAGCGGCTGCTGAAGCAGATAGAGACCGGTGAGGACCAGACACCCTTTCAAAATAGAAGCCCTCCTGTGTACTGTACTGAAGTTGTTTTTGTATGATTAGTGATTATTATGATTAATATTTAATATTCCATTCCTCTCATACTTATGTATATATAATATCCTGCTTTATATTTTGTTACTGTACATTTGTAATTCAACATAACTTCTACTTCTTTTTTAATGCTATTTTATTTCTATTGCGATGTTTACAAAATTCACACACACACGCACACACACACACACACACACACACGATTCTTTAAACATATGCATTTATAGGAGGGTACAGGAGAATGCATGTTATGATTGTGATTTCTTATGATTTCAGGAGGTTCATTTAACCTGAGTGAATGTAGGTAAGGCTTCCAGATGTTATAGAAATGGTCAGATTTGTAGAACATTATTAAAGATATTCCAGGGAAACCAACTCAAATATAGTTTAGTGAGAAGGGCCCTCATCTTTAGTCCTTTGTATTAATATATATGTCCTAGCAGCTAGAGTAAGGACAGTATATCATCTTTTACAGCAGCAGTAGGTAGTGTTTTGATTCGTAGACCTAAAATCAAAAGGGTCTCCATTCAGTCTGTTTTTGGTGAGTTTTCTGCCACTATTCTCAAAGTTAGTGGTCGGTTTTCTGATATTTAATGGCTTGTTTTCTGTGTGATTTTGACCACATTTTCCGTTTATCCGTTATTTCCTAGCAGCAAAAGTAAGGACATTATATAATCTTTAACTAGCAGCAGTAGGTAGTGTTTTGATTCGTAGACCTAAAGACAGTGGGTCCATATATTGTGTTTTAATGAGAGAGAGACAGATGTTTATTAGTATTAATCTGTCTGTCTCTCTCTCTCACACTCTCTCTGTCTGTCTTTCACACCAAGTACTTTGCCGTGTACTGTGTACTAAACGTCTTATCCTTAAATAATTAAAGTCCCTATTCTCCAGATTTCTACCCAGTGTTTAACACAAAGTCTTAAAGTAGACATGTGCGGATAGTCTCCTCTGGTTAGTGACGTTTAAACCGGAAAAATAACACTTTATAAAATATAAACCGATGGATGGAAGACACGAGATTAGCATGCTAAGCTAACATAGCTCCATCTTGTTCCCTCTGTTTACGTCTTTATTCCTTCAAACTAAAAGTCTGCTTTATCTATTAAACACGTGTAGGAAACACAAAGGACATATTCCACCATGAGAGGAATCAGTGTGTTTCTGCCGTGTGTTTTTAGGGTTAAATTTAGACTTTACAGCCGACATGATGCGGGACATCCTGTCCTCCAGGGTTCATGTTTTTATTTTGAAAATCCCTCCCCACCGGATGTTTTTTTATTTTGTGGAGCTTGACTGTTTTACATTTGGTTCCTGTTTTTGAAGTAGGTTAACAGTCAAAAACTCAGTAAAAGTTTAATGATGCAGAAGACTGTGTTTTATCTTTATAACTGCATTATTATAATATACCAATAAAGTTTATTTTAGTGTTTAATATATACAAACTGCAGATTGTTTTAAGAGCTGCAAACTTTTACAGGTCATAACTTCTGAACACATTGAAACATAAACCACAGACAGCAGTGAACACTGGTGTCTGAACACTAACTGTGTTTGTTCATCATGTGGGTTCAGAAACATGCTCTATATCTGCAGGCTGTGTTACAGTAATTACAGTCAGGCCTCTGTGCGTCTGGGCTGCGTTTCAGTCTGTTTTTCAGCTGTTATTCAGTCAGTTTCCTGAGAGGTTAAGTTAGCTTTTGGTCAGTCTTCTAAAAGTTTACCGTCGGTTTTCGGTACATTTTCTAAGATTTTAAGGTCTGTTTACAGTCAATTTTCTAAGATTTTAAGGTCTGTTTTCTTTCAATTTTCTAAGATTTTAAGGTCAGTTATCTGTCAATTTTCTAGGATTTTAAGGTGAGTTTTCAGTCAATTTTCTAAGATTTTAAGGTCAGTTTTCTGTCCATTTTCTAAGATTTTAAGGTCAGTTATCTGTCCATTTTCTAAGATTTTAAGGTCAGATTTCTGTACATTTTCTAAGATTTTACGGTTAGTTGTCAGTACATTTTTTTGATAGTTCACGGTCAAGTTTTAGCCTCTTATCTGGTAGTTAATGCCATTTTTTTGCCCTTTTTCAGAGATTTTTTTAGCCTGTGTTTCAGAAGGGTTTTTGGTATGTTTTCTGTCATTTTCTGATAGTTTAGGGTATTTTCTTGGTCTGTTTCGGATAGTTCTCAGTCTGTTTTCTGAGAGTTTATGGTCATTGTTTCTGGCCCAATTTCTGTAGATCTTTGGCTTGTTTTCTGTGTGATTTTGGCCAATTTTCTGTTTGTCTTTGGCCTGTTTTTTAGACAGTTTTTCAGTGAGTTTTTGGCAGGTTTCCTGGTCAATTTTCGGTCATTTTCTGGTCAGTTTTCTGCTTGTTTACGGTCAGCTTTCCGGACGTCTCAAGCCAGTTTTAAGCCAGTTTTTGGTCAGTCTGTTGTCTGTTAGTATTCAGTGTTGTGTTTTTCTTAATTTTCTGTGAGCTGACACACAAAGAGGAAGTTACTAACTCTGTTTCACTTCCTGCTGAGGAGGAAACAGCATGTGATGATAGGAGGAAACATGGTGGAGGTCTCACTCTGATGGACTTTTCTGTAATGGATGTTGCTGATGGATTCACCACACAGCAACATCCCATAATAATGTGAACACAGGAAGTGAGAGCTGGTGGTCGGACACACTGAGGTTGTTTATATCTGATCATCTGATTTCGTGAAGTGTCACGTGATCGATTATCTACAGTCTCACTGATCAACCCGATTGTGTTCACAGCCGGAGAGAAGACAGCATAGACTCATTCAGAATTGTATTACTAACAATAATCAGGACTTTACAGACTCAACTTAAAAACATCTTCCTTTTAGTTATGAGTTCAGATAAATGGAGCGCGTAGTTTGGAGTCATCACACATTTTGAGTTTGACCTGGTAAATGTGCTGTAGTTCCTTTATAGCCCAACATTAGCCGCCTTTAGCTTAGCGGTGGTGACGTGAAGTCATGTGACCGTGCTGTAGTTCCTTTATAGCCCAAGATTAGCCGCCTTTAGCTTAGCGGTGGTGACGTGAAGTCATGTGACCGTGCTGTAGGTCCTTTATAGCCCAAAATTAGCCGCCTTTAGCTTAGCGGTGGTGACGTGAAGTCATGTGACCGTGCTGTAGTTCCTTTATAGCCCAACATTAGCCTCCTTTAGTTTAGCGGTGGTGACGTGAAGTCATGTGACCGTGCTGTAGTTCCTTTATAGCCCAACCTTAGCCGCCTTTAGCTTAGCGGTGGTGACGTGAAGTCATGTGACCGTGCTGTCGTTCCTTTATAGCCCTACATTAGCCACCTTTAGCTTAGCGGTGGTGACGTGAAGTCATGTGACCGTGCTGTCGTTCCTTTATAGCCCAACATTAGCCTCCTTTAGCTTAGCGGTGGTGACGTGAAGTCATGTGACCGTGCTGTAGTTCCTTTA